TGCTGCACAGACCCCGCCTGCCTGGCTGGATGCGGTGGGGTGGGAGAAGCTTGCATGCGGTGGCTGCCACCGCGCTGTGTTCGGTTGTGCGCCACCCCCCCGCCCTGTGTCTGGCCAGCGTGGGCACACTGCTCCACATCCAGGCGCCGGGGGGGTACACTTATCCAAAAAGATTGACCTAAAGGTTAGCAGGAGAATCCTGTGGCACTTTTATTTGTGTGTCGTCATTCTCATTTAATGTAATTGTATTTAGAGGATGTCTGTTTGCACCAGCAATGTTGACCTTTGCTGTAGGGAAGGTACAAACTTCTGCAGAAAGCAATGAATGGAAAAAACCCAGCCATCATACGTGCACATGCAGATGCTGGAGCAGGTGGGCCACATAGCTGGACATGGACAAAAAAGTGAAGTATTAGATTTCTGCACTACAAGTAATGCTACCACTAAATCATCAATAGCTATAAACCATTTATTAAACAATCTAGATATGGGGGGGGGAGGAGGGGATTATTTGGGCTGGAGGGCCACTTTAGGAGTTTTGTTGAGCTGTTGAGAGCTGGGGGAAGAAGGTGCTGACCTGGCGTTGGTGCCCGTCATGGCTGTTTACACCACCCAGTGTGGCAGCGGGCAGTGAGATGCCAGATCCTATCCTGCCCCAGACCTGTCCGCCCCACACCCACCACCAGAGGTGCCACATGCAGTGGGAGGGCATGTGGGGCTGCGGCTGGGATCATACATGGGGTGGTGACAGCACAGGGCTGCGGCCTGGGGCAGAGCTGTGATCTGGTCCCAGCACATCCCTGCAACAGGTTGTTGTCTGTGGAACCGGTGTCCCTTGCAAGGACTTGCAGGGAGTGGATCGCAGTTTTGCCCCAGGCCCCAGCCCCACGCTGTCACTGCCCCATGATTCTGGCCCTGGCCCTGGTCCCAGCTGCCCATCCCACCCCATACACCACTCCCTGCCTGCCCACAGCCCCATCCCATCTGCTCAGCTGAGTACACCCTGCATAGGAGTCCCAGGCTGGTCTCTGTGTTGATCCCACCTGCCTGCTCGCTCTGCCTGGCACCCCCAGCAGTGGATGCAGGGTGGACGGGGCGGGGTGCTCGAGCAGCAGGGCAGGGGCTGGCAGAAATGGCATTAGATACACTGGCAATGGCAGCCAGAGGGAGCTGCTGGGAAGCTGAGTCCAGCTGCCGTGTCACCCATCCCCGTGGACTACAGCTCCTGGCATGCCCAAGAGCCCGGCACAGGAATAGGGTGGGCTGTGCTCTGTGCCAGACAGCCCCTCTGCACTGGGGGGGGCAGCTGGACTGGCTGCACGTGACATGGCTCAGATGCCCCCAACACCTGGGCTGGGCGCTGCTGAGGGACCTGTTGCAGGCCAGATAGAGTCACTTGGCGGGTTGGATGTGGCCCGTGGACTGTATTTTGCCCAGCTCTAAAATATAGCCATTCTTAGTTGTTTGCAAAAGGTGTTGCTTAATCAGTAGATAAATCAATCAATATTTTTGAGACACACGGGCGCACCAGATTATAACCAAACGTGATATTGTAGCACTTCCTTGAACAGCAGAAAATTCATTCCCCTTCTTAATGAAAATTACTTCCTTAAAATAAAACTCAGTTTATGTGTGTCAGTGATAAGATATGGCAGACAATAGCCATCATAAATTGCGTTGCTGAACAAAGATTTTCTATTTTTAACGCTTAACCATCGGAGTCATTCGTTTGTATCGCTGAAACCGACTCTAAAGAGATGGTTCGTTTAATCATGGTGAAGTTGTGAGCCTCAACAAGGTTTCAAGCGGGATGTGGGGCAACTGGGACAAAGGTTTAAGGTCAACCCAGGGACTATTTGCATATTTCAGTCAGATGCTTTTTTGGATAGAAGCTTTTCTGTTGGCGTTTATACCATATCAGTTATTAGGGGTGTATGTGG